CTGGAAGGATGGGTTAATCCTGAATATGGCAGGGGCCGGCTTAAATGACCTCCCTGTAGACGAGCGATTTCTGGAGGACAAGAGAATTGACTTTGAGGCATCTCTGGCCAAGGGGTAAGGAGCAGGGATCTGGGGGAGAGTAGAAACCCTGGTCTAGTGGATGCCTGTGGGTTTATGGACTGCACTTGACTGGACCAACACTGGATAGGTGCCTGTGGCTGTGATGTCTGATTGTATGATTCACTCTCAAACACTTTGCCCCATCCTTCCTGAAGGCTGGCAGAACTCGCTATCAAAGATAGTTTAAATATCTTGGCGAACTGGAATAATGTGGATGACTTCAACAGGATTTTCTGGTGTGGCCCAAGCAAGCTGGCTGGTGAGTACCCCTTACCTCCCAGTACCTCCCCGAGCACCCTTACCTCCAGACTCTTCTCTATCCTGGGGAATTGAGAGAACCAGGGCTGGGAGACTTGGTCCCTATGGTAGGCTGGGTCAAGTGGGGATGGTTTGGAGGGCATTGGGAGAACAGGGACTTTGATCCCCCAGTGTGCTCATCCCCTGCATCCCCAGTGCAGGTGCGGGACTCCTGGAAGGAGGATGCCTTATTTGGGTACCAGTTTCTCAATGGTGCCAACCCCATGCTGCTGAGACGCTCCTGTCACCTTCCCGACCGCCTAGTGTTTCCTCCAGGGATGGAGGAACTGCGGGCCCAGCTGGAGAATGAACTCAGGGTATGGACACCAGAGCTCCAAGGAGTCGAACAGTGAAAGGGGGACGAGGTCAGCATGGACTTTGCTGCTGTGGGGTCCGTTATGAGCCTGGCTTTCCCCGTACCAGCAGGAAGGGATTTTGCAGGAGAAGTTCTGAGCAGTCCTGGAGAGGTGCAGCTACAAGGCCTTCCCCCATGAGCATAGCACGCTGTGGAGGGAGGGTGTACCAGGTGGGATGATCGATAGAGACAGAGTCAAATGAGAGATGGGACTAGACCTTGTGCCAGAGATACAGGAGGGTGCCGAGTAAGAGAATCAGGGTCAGATGGGTGTGGTTGTTAGTCAGGAGTCAACATGGAACAATTGAGAGGGATAATTCATGGGAAGACAGACCTGGATTCAAATTCTGGCTCTGCCATTTGTAAACAGTGTGACCCCAAGCAAGATACTAAACCTCTATGATGATCTGTTTCCTCTTCTATAAAAGTGGGGCTAATTCAAGCATGTAAAAAAAATTATTTTTGAAGAGAAACAATTAGCATGTGACCCACTACCTCACACAAAGAAGCTGTTGAAGAGAAGTTAGTTCCTTTCTCTTTCTCTTCCTTCAGGAAACCAGGTGGGAAGAAGATACCTTATACTGACAGCATCCCATGCCCCCTCTCTCCATGTAGGCGGGCACACTGTTTGAAGCTGATTACTCTCTACTGGATGGGATCAAGGCCAATGTCATCCTGTGTAGACAGCAGTACCTGGCTGCCCCTCTGGTCATGCTGAAATTGCAGTCTGATGGGAAACTCTTGCCCATGGTCATCCAGGTAAGAGGACCCGGGAGTTCTACTCCCTCATGGTTGATTCTCTCAGCTCACTTCTTCATGAAAAATCTCTGAACACTCAGTCTCTTTAAAGGCACCGTGTTAAGTCCCTGGGGGAGACATTAATTGCCCTTGGCCCTTGATGGCTGAGGTCATTGCTGTGGCTACTGTGAGGTGCTTTCCATCAGCAAAGGGCCACGGTCTTTGATGTTAAGGGCTTTGCAGTGTAGTTGGAGTCACACAATGAGCAAATCTGAATAATCCCAGAATTGCAGATGGAGACATTCTGAAAGAGTCATTGAACATGGGATGATCATGATCCTTGGAGTCAGGAATTAGACAAGTGAGAGAGGAAAAGGAGATGTCCCCAGGGGCAAGATTTCTGGTGGACTAGACTATTAGGGAACATTAGGGACTGGAGTGTTAGGGACAAGTGGACTTGAGAGTTAGGGAATAACATGAGGTTGGAGGAGCCAGACCCATGCAAGGGAGAAGTATGGACATCGGGATTTGACAAAGGCTTTCTGAAAGATGCTGTGGACACAGTGCAGCAACTGTGTTTCAGATAGACGGGAGAAGGGAGACACTAGAGGCAGGGATTAGAGTACATGCTACAATGACTGTCCAAGGTAGAAAATTGGGCTCAGAGGGGGGAGTTGTGTAGGGGAGGAGTGGAAAAATGGATAGAAGTGCAGAGGGAGGTTCAACCAGCCTGAATCAAGGAGGGAAGAAAAGGAGAGTTGGGATGGGCATCTGAATAAACGGGACATATGAAGAGAAAAAGATGCTTAGACAGGCTGTGTCTTGCCACGTTTGAGCTAATGGGAAGACATTCAAATTGTCTAGCAGTCAGCTAAGCACTGGAAACTTAGTGGTTTGTGGGGAGGAGGTGTGAGAGATAGGGGAGAGGCTGAGATTTCTGAGGGGAGTGTGGGAGGAAGGAATTGGGGGCAGGGAATGTGAGGGGAACTGGGAGCAGGAGCAGGCAGTAGAGGAGCAGTTTCTGCAGAAGGCTGAGGGCAGAGCAGTGGGCACTGTGTTAGTGCACTGAGTGAGTAGGAAAAGGAGGGAAAGGAACAGCTGAAGGAGGTCACAGCAGTAAGATTGAGAAAGCTGAGGCCAGCAGGTGGTAGGGTAGTTCAGGCACTGGACTCCCACATGGTGAATCATGGTTCAAGTCCAGAATCTGGAGGTTTGCTTTCTCACATTCTTTCTTTCTCTGGTGAGTGCATGAGCCCTGTCACAAATTGAAAAATATTAATATGGACAAATGAAAAATTAAATAAAAATAATTATTAAAAAAAGATTAGGAAAGCTAAGAAAATGTGGAGTACAAAGAATAGAGGTTAATATAGAAGGTGGTAGGAAACATTGGACACGTGGTATTCATTGCCCCTCTTTCACACCCTTGTCCTTACTCCAGCTGCAACTGCCACAACAGGGATCCCCCCCACCCTTCCTGCCCACGGATCCTGAACTCACCTGGCTCCTGGCCAAATGCTGGGTCCGTAGCTCTGAATTCCAGATTCATGAGCTGCAGTATCATCTTCTGAGGGGACACTTGATGGCTGAGGTCATTGCCGTGGCCACCATGAGGTGCCTTCCCTCAGTACATCCTATCTTCAAGGTAATGCCTTCTTTTCCCACCTGTCTGTCTCCATGCTCTGTGGCACATTCCCACCTCTGTGGAATCTCAGAGTGTGGGGAGAACGGCCAATGGAAGACAAGAGAGAGCGGGAGTGTGAGCATGGCTTTCCATGCATATTCAATGGGTGAAATCAGCTGCTAAGGGGGGAAAAAGGAACCTCCTAGAAAGGGGAAAACAAATCTACTCTCGTTATGTAGACAGCACAGATATTCAGACAGTATGTAAACACTGCATGCAAATGACTGCAGAATTCATCCAATTAGAGGGGATGATGCAAATAATATAAAATCATTTTTTCCTGTTAGTCTTGAGTATTTCTCAAGGAGAAACAAAGGCCATTAAGATGAGCTCAGGCAAACAACCGTAGCCTTATGTAGGACAGATAATTAGTGCAAACTATTCAATGACTGAAAAAATTTGGGGATACCTCATAGGTAACAAGGATCATTCTAGATGCTACTGATAAGACCTAGATCAGGCAAGGTTCTGATCTTCTAAGATTTTCATTTCCAGTAAAGGCAAACAGACGATAAAACTTGCACTGTAACGTATCACCTATGCTAAGTACCATGCAGAGTCAAAGTAGGGAGATGTGGTGGTTTAGTCCGGGTGGTCAGGAAAGACTCCCTTGAGGAGAGGACATCGAGAAGGAGACTTGAGGAGGAGCCAGCTGTGAAATGATCAGGAGGGTGCAGGGATGCAGGCAGAGAGGACAGCTAGTGCAAAGACCTTGACACGGCAGTGGGCGGGGCTTGTCTGAAGAGGAGGAAGGAGGTGAGTGTAATGGAGGAAGGGAGAGGGAGGAGCTGAGGTTCTGGAGGGAGGCAGGGCTTAGATGATGCATCTTAATGGGTGAAAATAAAACAATCATATCATTTTTACGTATAAAGCACAGATACAAAAAAGTACACTAACAAATACACAGTTCATGTGCAGTATTAAACTTTCAAGGGGGTAGGATGAATTGAAACTAACAAAAAAATGTCTAAAGAGGCACCTTGAATGCAGTGAAAAGGATTAAAAAAATCCTTGCTTCAGACTCATGAAAATAATATGAAAAGAAAGGAGAATGATTTCTGAGAATTACCATAAAGCACTCAGTCTATGGTGTGGAATGAATCAGGCAGTGCAAGTCAAATGAAGCTCTTGGTGTCGAGGGGCCACTGAACTCAACCCTGTGCTTTCCCCAAAGACCTGGTACCTGCCTGTCACCCCCTAGTCCCTGCGCTGACCTGCCATGGCCCTGTCCTGACTTTGCCCCTCCCTGCTTTCCTCCCTCTAGCTTATAGTTCCCCACCTGCGATACACCATGGAAATTAACGTCCGGGCCAGGAATGGGCTCGTCTCTGACTATGGAGTTTTCGACCAGGTATGGGACTAGGGAGGGGAATTCAGGGCTCACCCTCTGGCTCTGGCCTCAGGGCAGCTGGATTTGCCTGACCCTGCCTGTCCGTGGTCCTAGGTGGTGAGCACAGGTGGGGGAGGCCACGTGGAGTTCCTCAAGAGAGCTAAGGACGTTCTTACGTATCGCTCGCTCTGTCCTCCTGATGACTTGGCTGACCGGGGCCTCCTGGGAGTCCAGTCTTCCTACTATGGTCAAGATGCTCTGCGGCTCTGGGAGATTCTCTATGGGTGAGGCAAGCCGCAGGCAGGGCTGCTGGGGGCGAGGAGAACAGGATCTCTCTGGTTGGGCTGGGTCTGGGGCTCCGGCCTGGCCATGGGGAAGAGGAGGGCTTGGATGTTCCCTGTTGGTTTCAGCCCCATCTCCCTGACCCTTTGGCCAGTAGGTATGTGGAGGGAATTGTGAAAATCCACTATAAGTCGGATGAGACTGTGAAAAGTGACCTTGAACTGCAGTCCTGGTGTCGAGAAATCACTGAAATTGGGCTGCTAGGGGCAGAGGATCGAGGTAAGATGAGCCCTTGCTCTGAGATCTCAGACATGAAACACAGGAGACTTCTCTAGACTCTTCTCTACTTCTACGAAATATTCCAGAAGCGTTTCCAATCCATGTGAAATCTGCCCCAAATCTTTCCAGATTCAACATCCTATCAGCTAGAATCATGTCTTCATTCTATAAACTGAGATCTTTTCATGTCCCAGAAGCAGTGGTTGCTCATAAGTATTTAATAACCAGTTATCTAGAAATAAATACATAAATAAATAAAACTTGCATTTGCTCATATTCATGGTGTAAATATTTCCAGTATGACTAACAATGTGATGTCAAACATGAAAAGTTGACATTATTGACTGTTGTGAGCCAATATGGTCTTGCACCAGCATCCGTCTGAGTCGGACCCTTCCACCAGAGCTCCCCTTTCTTCCACTCCAATGTGCTCTCATATCAATTCCCACAGAGTTACTGAGTGTCCCTGGCGCCCCTTCTCACATCTCTTGTTTTTTGTTTTTTGCTTTTTTTGGAGAGGTTTTTTGCTATAGGGTGTGTGCACTTGCCAGACGGACAGAGAGAGACAGAGAGACAGAAAGCGGGAAATCACTCCCCAGGGGGGATGGTCACGCCACAATCCCTTCTCCTCCATTCTCCTCTCGGGATCTTGGGCACGCATGCACACGTGCCCGGTGTGAGTTTTAAGCCACCGGGTCCGGGACGTGAACCACGTTCGACTACGTGGGAGTCCAGTGACATATCCAGTACACTAACTGTTGGTTCCCACACCTCCTGTTCTTTCTGTGCCTTGTCTCTGAGCTCAGTTTCTGCTCCTGGCCTCCAGGTTCTAACTCTCCTCACTGTTTTCAGGGTTTCCCCAGTCTTTGCAGTCTCTGGATCAGCTTTGCAAATTTGCCACCATGTGCATCTTCACCTGCACTGGTCAACACTCCTCCACCCACATGGGCCAGGTACTCACCAGTGGGGAAACCTGGAAATTTGTGGCCTGGAGGCTTGTGCAGCTGGACTTGAGGGTTTTCATGCAGAGCAGACCTTGACTCTAAATCCCTGCCCCTCCTTAGCTGGACTGGTATGCTTGGGTCCCTAATGCACCCTGCACCATGCGGATGCCCCCACCGACCACCCAGGATGTGACGATGGAGACAGTGATTGCATCATTGCCCAGCGTTCATCAGGCTTCTGTACAGATGTCCATCACTTGGCAGCTGGGCAGACGCCAGCCTTTTATGGTGAGAGCCAGGTGCTTGGGTTCCAACGGAAAGAGCCAAAGAGGGAGATTTGACACCCCAGGTCGATGTAATAAGGCACATCTGCCTTTTTCTCTCCATCCCAGGTGGCTCTGGGCCAGCATGAGGAGGAATATTTTTCAGACCCTGCATCCAAGGCAGTGCTGAAGACATTCAGGGAGAAGCTGGCTGCCATGGATAAGGATGTCGATGCCCGGAATGCAACACTGGCCATGCCCTACGAGTACCTGAAGCCCAGCCTGGTGGAAAACAGTGTGACCATCTGACTGTGTCCAGCCTTTGATCATTCGAGTCCCCCCCTCCACCCAAGCTTCAACCGCACTCCTTAGTTGTTTCAGCTCTGCCCTCCCAGGACCTGCCATGTCTCACCTTCCCTGAAGAGTCACCTTTCCATTTTCATTCCCCCAGGGAACCCCTTTTTACTGTAAATGCTGCACCTACATTCAGCATTCCTCCTCTCCCTTCCATTCTTTTCTGTTTTCCTCTGTCTTCCCTCGTCTTTGAGATCTTCCATAGGGAAAATGATAGTCACATTTATAGAGACTCCTTCAAGCACCGATTATTACTCCACATCTTAGAGTAAAAATACTTAAATTGATTTCAAATCTAAATTCAGTTTAATAATAATAAGAAGATATTGTAGACAAATAAGAGAAAATTTAGACTGAATTATTTAAAATAATTGGCAAAGGAATAGAAAGGGTGAAACTTTTTCTTTCTAAGTGGAGGGGATTTAACACATATCTAGTAGCCAGATACACTGCAAAGGAAACCATTGACACGGGCGTTCTCAAGATTTTTTTGACTCAAGATTTTCATTTCATGGCTCACTTTGAAAATGATAAGTAGAAGCTAACGGATTGAATTGAGAAAAACAAAAACAGGAGACTTCACGTTCTCTAACGTAGGAAGTCCTGTCCCTGTGAAGTTACAGAATAAAAGGTGAGGTCATAGAGAGTGAGGTACTGTACTTTGACATAAGTAAACTCCATTTCTTACCATAGATATATGCTACTAAATATATTTTCTTATAGTATATATGTAGTCAGTAGTGCAAATTTCAGTGAATTATTAGGAATCAGAACAAGAGCAGTCTTCACATTTATGGGTGGTAGATCACAGGAGATAACAAAAAAAAAAACATTGTCTGGGTAACTTAATGGAAATTCTTGCAAACCAACCTCCACTGCAAATTCAAGATAATAAGCCGTAGAAAAAATATATACCTGGGACCAGAAGGTGGTTGAGGCACTAGACTCCCACGTGGCTGACCTTGGTTTGAGTTGTGGACCAGATGGCTTGCTTTCTTACTTTCTCTCTTTTTCTTTCTACCTCTGTCTCTCCCTGTTGAGCCCTATTGCAAATTTTAAAATAATCATGAATAAATAAATAATTCTTAAAATTCCTGGCAGGGAAAACCTTCATTCCAACTTGGTTATTTATTATTTTGTTTTATTTTATTAAAATTTTTTTTCTTTCTTTTTTTTTTTATACATTCAAATCACACTATTATTTGGCTTACAAAATGGATATTTCAACAGGTGAACATTTCTACCTAGTGCAGTTGATAAAACTATAGAATTTCTTAAACAGATAATACCACATTTCTTTGGTTATTGTTGATACTATTATTGTCTTCAAGGTAAAAATCTGGCAAATATTCTCTGGGTTTTATCTTAATCCAGAAAAGTGTAATTTCTAACTCTTGTGCATGGTTCTCTCCAAAGTCCTGGGTTAAGCCTTAGCATTCTTTCTTTTTTCAGAGAGAAATTTTTGCTATAGGATGTATGTGCACATTGAAGACAGAGATAGAGAGACAGGGAGAGAAAAAGTAAGAAATCACCCCCAGGGGGTAACCTCACCACAATCTCCTCTTCTCCATTCTCCTCTCAGAATTTTGGGCATGCACGCGCCCAGCATGAGTTTTAAGCCACTGGATGTGGGACTCTAACCATGTTTAGCCATGTGGGAATCCAGCACCTTAACCACTATGTCACCTGCTGGCCCCCTTAGCATTCTTTCTAAGGTTTTACATTCATCAACTTTTTGAGACAGGGAGCCTCTGCAGTTTCCAGCCAAAGCTGAGTGAAAAGACAGGATTTTTACTTTCTTTTTCTTCACCTAAGAACTGCAGGATCTTTGCCCACTCTTGTTGACAAAGGATGGGTTGCAGGCCTGTGTGAGTGCAGCTGCTCAGACCCTGCTCTGTGGGCCATTTCCCAACCCAGTCTTGCGCTGGCCCTTCAAAGATGAAGGTATTAGTTTAGGGCTGGCTCAGTAATGCACTTCTCAGGTAATGCTGGATCCATTTGGAAGGTCACGGGTCTGGTTCCCTCTCTGATCTGCATATGTCAGGCATGCTCTCTATGATCCTGGCTGACTGAGAAGTGGAGAATTGCAGCATGAGACCTTGTTCAGAGTGATTGCCTCTCTCTCTCTCTCTGTTTCCATCTCTCACTCTCATGAAAAAATAAGTGATCTTGAGAAAAGAACAAAACAAAACAAAAATACAACTCAGGGCCAGCAGGTGGTGTGGAGATTAAGGCAGCTGGATCCCACATGGCTGTCTGCATGGTTTGAGTCCCAAACCTGGTCACTTAAAAATCATGCCACGTGCATGTGCATTCTCAAGGTCCTGAGAGGAGAGTGGAGAAGTGATGGCTAAGTGGACACCCCCGAGAAATGATTTCTTTTTTTTTTTTTTTCTTGGAGAGGTTTTCGCTATAGGACGCATGCGCTCGCCAGACAGACAGAGACAGAGAGATAGAAAGCGAGAAAGCACCCCCAGGGGGGATGGTCACGCCGCAATCCCTTCTCCTCCATTTTCCTCTCAGGATCTTGGGCACGCACGCACACGCGCCCGGCGTGAGTTCTAAGCCACCGGGTCCGGGACACGAACCGCAGTTGATTACGTGGGAGTCCAGCAACATAGCCATTACGCTAACTGCTGGTTCCCACCCCCAGGAAATGATTTCTAACTTTTTCTTCTTCCTCTCTCTCTGGTGAGCACAGGTACCTTAAAACAAAACTGAAAACAAAACCCCCATAGTTTTATTTAAAAAAAGAAAAAAAAAATAGAAAGAAAATGTGTTTGCTTTAAACAAGTGAAGGATTTGGTGGGAGTAATCCTGGAAGGAAACCAGACAGGCAAAGGCCAGATGTAGGAATGGGAACAGAGATGGACTAACTGAAACAGAATACAGTAAATGCATTTAAGTATTATAGTTCCTGTTTGATCAGGGGAACAAAAAGGAGTTGCATTGCAGTTGGGAAAAGGGAATCGTGTGCTAGAGAGGTCATGGCTGGAAAAGTGTTGAGATCAGCATTTTAAAGCCCAGAGCAGGCCTGATCTCCAAGAAGCCTTCCCTAACCCTACCCACTCCATGCCATAGAGCTCTGTTCCCCCTCTGTTGCTGCCTGCTCCTTCTATCAACACTATCTAAATCTTAAAAACTTTTTTTTTTTGGTCAGAGGATGAATTCACTTGTCAGAGAAAAAGAGAGAGAAAGAGGGGGAGAAAGAGCACACCTTCTTTAAAGGGGCATGGTTTTGCAGCAATCCCTTTCGCCATCCTGTCGGGATTTAGGTCATGCATGCACAGGAGCCCAGTGTGTTTTTCAAGTTGCTGGGGTTGAGATTCAAACTGCAGTTGGTCTTGTGGAATTTGGCTCCCTTAACCTCTAGGCCATGGGTCTGCCCTCTGAACTTTTCCATAGCTCCTAAAAGAAGCCACCCATTAAGCACACGTTGTTTTTGTGTCAACATGTTTTCAGTTCTCTTGGGTGTAACTTGGCAGTGAAAATGCTTAACTCTATATTTAACTGTTCTGTGTAATTTCCAAACTTTTCCACAATGGCTAGATCATATGCATTCCTATTAGCAATGCCGAAGATTTTAATTTCTCACAGCTTCAAGACTTGTTATCTCCACCTCCTTTTTGATGATTGTCATCCTAACAAGTTTGAAGTGATATTTTATTTTGGTCTTGATTTGCATTATCCTAGTGATTAGATGTTGAGAATCTTTCATGTGCTTATTGGCAACTTGTATATCTTCTTTAGGGGAAGTATACTTAAGTTATTATTATTATTTTATATATATATGATCAGTTATTTAATTAGGTTTGAAGGGCCAGAGTGACTCCACTTCTTTTGGGGCAACTCCATTTCGTTAAATCCACCTTGCTGAGAATCAGCGCCATCTCAAGGAGGCAGCTGATCACATAGGAGAGGGTCATAATGAGAAGAACAAAAGAAATTCCAGAAAGACTTTCACCTCTTCTTTTCCTATTTGAATGCCTTTTATTTTTTCCTTTTTTCCGATTGCGTTGGCCAGGACTTCCAGCACTATCTTGAAGAGGAGTGTAGAAAGTGGGCATCCTTGTCTTGTACCCATTTTTAGTGGAAAAGTTTTCAGCTATTCTCCATTGAGGATGATGTTCACTATGAGTTTTTCATAGATAGCTTTTATTGTGTTGAGAAATGACCCTTCTATGCCAATTTTGCTGAGTCTGGATCATGAAGGGGTGTTGTATCTTATCAAATGCTTTTTCTGCATCAATTGATATGACCATATGGTTTATAGCTTTCTTCCTATTAATATGGTGTATTACATTTATGGTTTTGGAGATTCCTCAAAAAATCTACAAATAGAACTACCATATGATCCAGCAATCCCACTCCTTGGTATTTACCCAAAGGACAGAAGAATACTTAATTGGAAAAGTGCTTGCACATTGATGTTTATTGAGGCACTATTCACAATTGCTAAGTCATGGAAACAACCCAAATGTCCACAAACAGATGAATGGATAGAAAAACTGTGGCACATGTACTCAATGGAATACTATTCAGCCATCAAAAACAACAAACCCTGGCTTTTGACAGGAAGTGGATGAATATGGAAGACTTACTGCTGAGCGAAGCAAGCCAAGCTATGAAGGAGAGGCATCGTATGTCCCCATTTAATATATACTGAGTGTCCGTACTCTATGACTGAAACTAATTGATTAAAGGATATAGAAACACAGTATATAGATGTAAACACCAGATATAGTGTGTGTGAAAGAGGAGGGTCTAAGGAAGGAAATTTGTGGGAGGGACAGGGAGGCAAAGCATTAATGGCACAAAGAGGTGTGGTATTATCTGTTGAAGATATTTTGTAGATTTATTAACTGTACTACGGAGTAAGGTTCACCTGTTGAAATATCCACTTTGTAAGACAAATAATAATGTGATTGAATGTATGGAAGAAAATGAAATAAAAAAATAAAAATAAAAAAGGAAAGGAAATAAAGAAGGAAATAAATAAATAAAGAAATACCAGAGAATTGAAGTAACTTTCTTGCCCAACTTAACGGTCTAAAGCCCAATCAGTAAAAGACAACTTGCTTCTTGAAATCTATAGCCAATGTATAGCTGCCTGAGTGCATTCCTCAGCACCCCTCAACCTCACCCTAACAGCCAAATATAAAACCCAGCCCGAATTACACCGGAGCTCTCAACTCTGACCTGCTGTGTCATTAAGATTGAGAGTCCTGGCTTGAGCTCGAATAAAAATGACCCTTGTGTACTTACAGCAGTAACGGCTCCTTGTGATTTTTTTTTGGAATTCCGCCACCAGGGCACTACATTTTCTTGGCAAAAAATTTAGAACACCAATTTGTGAGGATAAACTCCATTTGTAAGGGCAAACAAGGATCACAGGTAGCCCAGGAGCTGAGGAACGGCTTTGATTTTTGGTAAAATTTGAGAGTCTACAGCTTTCTAATCAATCTTGCGCTGCTCTGAAATCCTGTATTTCTCCTTCTCTGTGTCGAAGATCTCACCTTCTTGGTGTCTGGGCTTCCGCAGTTTCTTTTTTTTTGAAGTAAGCATCTGTAAGTTGCTTTGGGATTTTTACTTTGCTAATATCAATTTTCTGGCGGTGGCAATGACAAATTTCTGGTGTGCTCTACACAGTGGAACTCGATTGAGAACCAGTGGTCCAGTTACAAGTAGCAGGCCACTGCTCAGCTGCTCCAGGAAAACCACTCTCCTGCCTCTGTGGCATCCAGTGAGGATGATCAGAATGGTCCCAGGAGTGATGCTGGCTCGCAGCTTTCTCACATGCTGACTGAAGGGTTTTTTTTTTTTTTGCCTTGGCTCAACTGCTCTTGAGGCATATTTTCAGTAGGATAATACCTAGGCATTTTGCACAGTTTAACCACCCAAGTACCACCATTCTTGTCTCCACCAACTGGTTTTGGGACAGTCACAAGAACCTTCTCCTTTTTCTT